ATTACGGACCATAGACTTGGAGTCGCATCACTAAGGGCGCCTCAAACGAACTACAGACATTCATCGACAGCCGTCTTCGCTCAACATTCAAAATCAGGTGGTCAGAAAGGATGAGCGACATGGATCTCTGGTAGCAAAACAACCCAGAAGAAACCAATTGTGCACCAAAAATGCAGGAAGAAATGGAGGTGGACTGGCCACACTCCAAGAAAAACATCAAGTGATATCTGACGACAGGATACCGAGTGGAACCCGGACAGGAAGTGGCGAGCTGGTCGTTAGTGCGACAGTGACATGAAGAGGGCCATGTGAAGAGGATCAGAAAGCTTGTGGGGAGACGTGGAGCCAGGTGAAATCGTTGACAGAAAACCGAACGTAATGGTGACTTGCGGCTGAAGCTCTCCATTCTTCTAGGAACTAAAGGAAATAATTATAATGGATGTGGGATAAATAGATGATAGGAAGACTGAGTATAGTTGGAAGTGTGAATGCAACAAGATTATTCATTCATATGTCTAACCAATTTATTCATTTATGTAAACAAAAGTGGGAAGTTCTCTGAGTGCCTTCATTTGTTTATGAGCAATAAATTGTACTCGAAACATGGTCACCAGTGTATAATACTGTGTAGCGCTGTGCCTTTATCACATAAATTCAGTCTGTGATGGAATTATACTCTACCACAAAGTCCAAGTTCTATTCTTATACCGATGAACTCGTACAGCAAAATAAGCGATAGATAGCAGGAGTAAGGTGATAAATTTATTAAAATGATTTGTGAATATCAGTTATGTGTTTATCGGTGTCGAGATGTACCAAAATAATGCTACAAAGTGTGTTGGTTTGTGTCTTGTCTAAGCTTGCAGCATAATGTCACGACATTATAAGATAAGCATTTTTATCTGTACACATCGATCCTGTGTGTTCCAAAAGAATTGCGCAAAGACAATTTCTGCGCAGTGACCATTTTTATATTCATCCGAAAAAAAGACCATTTCCTTTCAAAGTGCATTAATTACAATATGTCATCACTACTTATTTAGTTCGGCTAATTCACTCCTTTACCTCGCTGGGCCAGAACTAATGCTGGTAAAGAGGAGAGGTTGGGCATGAGGCTAGCAACCCCATCCTGTAAAAATAAAACATTGCTACAGAAACTTCAAGCCACTGGCTTGAAGCCCTATGTTCCACTGGGGAACGTGAAGGAAAAAAAAAATTCACTCTATATTATAGTGATGTAATCGGCTCATATAAATTCATTACTATTCCACTCCTTCTCATTATTCTTCTTCTTCTCCTCTTCAATATTCATCCTACGAATTATACAGAATGTAAGCATGAGTTACAATTTTCATCATGTCATGGTGTAATAGTAATGCCAATGCCTTTAGTCCAAACGATGCTTCGAATAATGTGGAATTCTAAGCATACAGCACATAATTGTATGCAATATTCTCTTTGTATTGTGTATATTATTGTTCGTTGGTGGCACAGCGGTTAGAATACTTGCCGATCATGCACATGGTCCGAGGTTCGATTCCGGCTGACGAACTCCTTTACCCTGTTAAGCCAGAAATAAGGCTGGTAAAGAGGAAAGGTTGAGCATGAGGCTAGCAACAAAATCCTGTAAAACTAAACACTGCTTCATAAACTTGAATACTCCAGGTTGAAGCCCTATGTTTCCCTGGGAAAGCGAAGGAAAAGAATTGTGTACAGCATGACGACATATAATTGTGGACCTGTGTGTTCTTCTCCATAATAAATAATTTATCATGCCGATAAGAGTTATCACAACAATATACTGCTCAAAAGTGCCTATTAGAAATTTCAAAAAACTGATTTCTGAACAAAGAATATGCCCTCCGAAAAATTCTTCATCAGGTTTTACAGTTCTGTATCCACAATAATAAAAGAATGAGGGTCATTAACAACACTAGTGGTTTAATAACATCAAGTCAATCAATCAACCGTTGTTAATGAACTACAGTTCAACGGCATCTGTAATTGTTATAATGTGCATCAAAGTTACACCAATCTGAATGTCAGACGAATTATGGCGAATAATCGTAGAGGATTCATGAATTTACAGGTTCGACAGAAAGACAGGACAGTAGAATCGGCTAGATCTGTTTCTTCTGCATACGCAGCACCAGTCGCTTCAAGTGTGCGTCGGTGGCACAGTGGTTAGGACTCTCGCCGACCATGCACATGGTCCGGGGTTCGAGCCCACGCCGGCGCACACCTGATATCTATGGTTGGCCTACAAAATTTGGGCTACGGATATCCATGCTGACAATTCCATACTTGTACCAAAAATACAGTGGGGAATCAAGCTGTAAATCAAAAATCAAAAAAAAAAGTGAATCGTAGTAACCTCTGCTGTTTGAAGTATTCGTTATCTGGATACTTTCGGTATTTTTATTTGGTATCCGATAGATAACGCAGAAGGATCCTTTGATGCGAACTTTGTGACCACTTAGTTTAGGTAGTCCAATGTCGGGCTGCTGGTGTTATTCACTACAGTATATTATCGGTAGACAAAATGGAGACATTCACTCATTTGACGTTTCGAAGTTATTCAGTAGTTTATGCAACTAAAGTGTCAATGAGTTTATATATTTGGTTGTGTGAGCTTATAGTCTTTCTATTTCTTCCTTATTCTGATACAGGAGGGGCAGACAAAACATAATCATCAAACAGTATGTTGAGAGTAAGGAAAAGTGACTGTTTCAATTTCTTACATGAGTACAACTGCCTGCCGACGATGATATCAACAAATTGGCTTAGAAGTACTCCAATAAGACTACTGACACCTTGTGCTGTTCTCAACGTAACAGTGGTTTTTAGGCAGATCAAGAAAGAGTAGAAAGGGGATATACAGGGAACAGAACAGTCTACAAGAATCGACGTCTTGTGAAAGTATGGGCTGAGTTATAGCAGAGTGTTCCAACTTCCTCACATTTTTTGATTACAGCTTGATTCCACACTGTATTTTTGGTACAAATATGGAATTTTCAGCATGTGATATCGGTAGCCCAAATTTTGTAGGCCGACCATAGATATCAGGTGTGCGTTGGCAGGGGATCGAACTTCGGACCATACGCATGGTCGGCGGTAGTCCTAACCACTTATCCACCGATGCACGAAACGGGGACCTTTCGAGTGTGAGGCGAACAAGAAATATTCTCCCAGAAATCATCAGGACATCGGACGATCATGACAAATTATAGGAAGCGCTTAACCGAAAGTGCGTAATATCAGGTTTTATTTCTACTGTACCATACTCTACGTCACAATAAATACAGGAAACCACTAGTTCATGTGAGTTTCGTTTACATCTGAAAGTGAAATTAATATTGTGACACATGGATTTACTCAAAGCGATATCACTTGTCAAAGATCACTAGCTAAATTCTGAGAGAAGGCCATACATTTCGACAGAGTCCAGTCGGGAGGGAGGAGGTACGACAACAATCACGTCATCAGCATGCTTAAGGGAATCAGTATTGTCAGAATTGGGTGTGTCATATGACAAGAAAGAGGTTATAAATGCTGCAGAATGTCATCTTGATGGAAAGTAGCTCTAGTGAGTAATGCGGTGGATGATTTTGCTTTAAGGACAGCGTGTATTGCTTCATCGCTTTACCTTTTCCCAGTAACTGTCTTGGGATATCTGTACCTGTAGTCTATGTATGTAGTAGCCACAGTCGTAAGGGAATCACTCATTCTCTCTGTGAATGTTAACTCATGTAAATGAGTGAAAATACATTGATGAGTGAATCCACCACTTATTTAAAGTCTGCACAAAAAATTACTCTTTAACTTCGATAAGTGAGCAAGCGTAAACATTGCATATATCATTATAGATGCGATAAGGAGGCTGTTCTTGAGAACAAAACTTAATCATACCTTAAATTATTTATAGCAATAATTATACGAATTTGATTTAAACTGCATCTGACGTGATGATAATAGAGGCATTATCATCTACACAAAAGAATTTTACCATCATTAGTAGTTAAATGCGATTTCCTGGTTGTAATATACCTCAATGGTAAATCACCTGGACCGACACCACCAAATGCAAAATATCTCACCCTGAGGTGAGGGAATAAAATAAATTTTCAGGAGGGTTTAACCCTACAAATAAACTCCCCACTGACAAGTACATGCGCCCAAAGCAAGCACTTGAATTTGTAAAGTCGAGTCAAAATTAATATGACGTAAAATACAGTGGTTCACCTCAAATTAGTGAATAATGCTTGACTTTTTTTCTTTTTACCGCAGGTCCGAAGCATACGAAAGTATTCCTCACTCGATCTGATAAACACAAATCAATCAACTCAACCACACGACCATATGGAGACCCTAGGTTCACCTCTCGTGGACTTACTCGTCAAATATCTAGTTCAACACTTGGTTAAAAATGCGTACCACTGTTCGCTTACATGGCTTCGAGTTAACGAACTCATCAAGTCAACGCACAAAATCCACAGCACCATCGTGCACATCTTGGAAGGTAAACTCGACGAAATGACCAAGCAAAAATTTGACATGTGATAAATACTTCTCAGCCACTATTCTCACAGGTACTACGTTTCCTGCAACATATAAGCAGAGTCCCACAAATAATCACACACTTTAGTAAGCGTCCAATTTATGGTGAGTAATGGAGAGTAGATTTTAGTCTCACATCATGCAGAATCATAAAAGATGGCACTTCAACTCTGCGACGATATCTTCAGAATGATAAACTCTATGGGATCAACACAATTAGTCGGAACATATCATCAGAGTTATTCTACGCATCTGGAAGTGACACTTTGAAGTATCTCTTGGAACAGTCTAGAGTGATCATTCACAATCCTGGCGAGTCTATCTTCACACCTTGAGGCAACATTAACTTGCTCGTTTAACTAATACATTGACTCACTCAGGCTGTCAACTCAATTGGTCTTCACAGAGTGACTGTAAAAATAATAAGGAAATAATTAACCTACCTAAATTATTCTCTTAATCGCTTTACATCAGTTGCAGAGATCAATTTTTAAGAGCATTCAATCCAATGGACAAGTGCTTCATCCTCCACTTCGAGGCTCAGTTTGTATTGAATGACTCGTTCTCAATATTTCTATTGCTTGTTTGCATAATGTTAGTTTGTCGTGCTAAGAATGACCGACCTGTAGGTGAAAGCTCAAACTCCAGATGCTCTACCAGCTGAAGCTGGTTAATGTGTGCGTGTTTGCCGGCACCTGATATTGCATCACAGAGAAATCTTTCATAAACAGTCAGTATATCCGAATAGCTGTATTTACTGCATGCTACAAAAGATGTTCTTTCGAAATAGAAGGACTTTGTCAGAGCAACTAATTCAGAGAAAGAGTTATCATGAAAACACTTTAGAGTGTAATAAACACATCACTTACCTTGTATTTGTACGAGGACAATAGTCAGTAGATTAGATTACACCGCTCATTAGTTCAGGTGCAGTAATTTGTCACATCTCTAAATAATGGTCTATTCTTGTTGACAGCAGTAGGTTATCAGATAAGGATAATCCATTAAGTAAGACTGCTGCTCGATTGTGCTCGATAATAATATAATAATTATGCAGTGAATTAGCGATATACTTGGGACCTTAGAAAGTTTTTCGATCTTTCCCATCCCTACTGATCCAAAGGAAGTGTATCCAAGTGTATGTTTTTTAAAAAAGCGAAAGCATGTTGTTAGCATTCCTTGTGTGGATGCATTTTTCAGTGGACTTATCTAGATCTTGCACTACTGAAAGTTCTACCATCAAATTGCATAGAACTTTGTTTCAATCCATTAAAACCTGATCTCATATGATAACATATACTCCAAAGAATATCTTAAACGTTTTCTATACACCGATTCGCAAGTCCTGGTTGAAGAGTTTTCCAGAAAATTTGGGTTAATCAGAGTTAAGGACTTCCTCGTATCTCTTCGAAAACATCGACCCAAATGTTACTCCCATTGCTTTCTACAGAATTTTAGGAGAACTCCAATAAAAACAGTCTAGGAGTTATTTTCTTAACGAATATTAGGTGATAATATCACAGATATAACCTGAAATATCCTGAAAGTTTCCCTTTAGTGAGACGTTCCTCATGAGATTTGACCATTTGTTCTCTCTTCAACTTAATAGGCTCCCCAAACAATGTGAAATGTTATACGGAAGATGTTGTTACCTGGCATGAAGGAATTTAATACTTTATTCCACTCCGAATTGCAGAAAGAAAATCCGTAATATGACTAGAAATTTCATCACCCAAAACCTTAGGCATGTGATAACTCTCCAAGGAAATTACTGGCGAGAGCCAGACATATAATGCTTCGTATTCATTTGACCTTGGTAACTGTAATAAGTCACCTAGTAGATCCTGTAATTTCTTACGCTATAAACCAAGGAAATGGTTGCTTTCCCCTTGTAACACAAATCATGGACCCAAGTGATCTACTCCTTGAATCCTTCCAAATGCCAAGGTCCAGACCACATGCTAGGTTTTATCTTTAGAAAACCTATGAGCATCTTATAAATATGGCTTCATTTTTCAACATATATTATTCCATAGAGGTTGTTTCTGCCATTTGGAAGGACATTAACGTTGTTCGGGTACCTGAATAATCCACCAGGTCAACTGTTAAGTGTAGACCCAATGCAATCACCTCATCCTACTCAAAAACAGTGGTAAAACAACCCACAATTAAAACTGTCTTCACCGAAGGCTTTTGATGATCCGAAAAAATTAACTTGGAAACAAAATAAACATAAAGAAGATCAAAAGAATCCGTGAGATTGAATGCGTGCTAGCACCTTCACTCTTAACAATCGGTTTGATCATCCATGTACACGGTCGACAACTGGAATTTATGGAACGTGGTTGCTGCATCACGATTTTATTCTGTATCCCTAAATTCTCTCTTTACTACCATTGAGATATACCTCCTTGTACACCCCTTATTGGTATATTCTGAACTCACCAGTTACACCGGCGGTAAAGGCAGCTTAGCTACCAGATCATCCGGAGAGATGAATGTTATTGATATAAGAATAAAACTTGTGCATTGTGGAAGAGTGTAATTCTATTATGGGTAAATTTCGATTTGATAAAGTTTCACAGTGTTATACAGTAATGTTTACTGATGACGTTTCGAGCACAATTTATTGCTCATAATCATATCAAGGTAATCACACGACTTCCTAACTTCATTTATATAGTTCCATTGTTTTCTACTTGATTTGACTGGTAGTAGTATTTTCCATATTTCGGGTATGAGTGATGAATCATTTCTATTGCATGTGTTGGGTGTAGACTCGATGAACAAGGATTCAGTAATCAACCTCTCTCTCCACCTAACTAGATTACTTTTGAGAATTTTGTAATCAGTTTGTTTAGAGAAAATTAAATTACTAGAGTACGTGATATCGAGATCTACGACCGAGTTCAGTTTGGCCAGCTTTTGCCGACTCACTTTAATGTTTAGGTCGAGATTACTGTCACCGGTGGAAATCCAGCTAAAATTAATAGTGATAAACTTCAGATAGGATTCATAACACCATGGGACTGGATCATTTAGTTGAAAACCAATATTATTTATCAAGTTGTTTAATTCGAGACTGTAGCAGGAGGAAATGATTTTGAATTCGATAGCACACAGGAATGATTTAGCTTAGGTGAAACAATTATAAATGCGAACAAACAAAGAAGAAACATTGAAGCAGATTAATCTGGATCCATTTTATTTCGTTGGTCCTCATCATCTGCGTGCAACCTGAATTTTTTTAGTAAAACAAAAATAAAACGTGTACAGTTTTAACAAACCTTTGTCCATTTGCAAGCATATTGTCATAGCGTCATAGTAAAATAAGCGTTGCGATTTACAGGGTGTCTAAAGTGTTATGACATATATATGTATATATCTTGGTAGAGAGAAGTTTCTTGAAAAAATTAATTAACATTTGTGTTGTTGGGGTAGTAACAGTTATAAATGCTATGAGTGTGAACTGTAAATAGAGCTGGTCCTAGAATGATACTGTTTACAATCTCACCTGTAATCTACTCAGGACACCACACGTTTGATTTTGGTTATTGCTCCTGTAACCTTAAATGAATTTAACCTGCTAAGTAGTGTAATGCAAATTCCACAGGAATAAAATTTTTCAAAGAGAATACTACAATATTAATTTCTTTTCTAGAACAGAAAGCAGCCATGTTGACGTGTGTGAACACATGCAAAATACATTAAATCCATACGAAATACGATGAAGGTTGTTAATACAAATTTAGATTGAATAATAATAGCTTTATTTTGAACAGTGTTTATACAATGCACAGAATTTTCAGCGGAGTTTATTGCATGAAATTTTCTCGTCGTCCAGGATCTTCAAACTAAAGATTAACTGGCAGTAGATCGTGTGAAACAGTTGTATCTGACCTGAGGCTGAAACCGATTCATTATGATATCCCTTCTTTTCCCTCTTGAAGAAATGCACGATATTTGGTTGAATGGCAATTATCAGAAGTTCAGAAGTACATTTTGTCAAACAATGACACCATTCAGGAACACCCAATTCATGTATTATGATAAGCCACCATCCAGTAGTTATAGGACCAACTTTGAAAAAATCGAACGATTACATGATGAAGGTTGTTACCAGCTTCATCAGATGTGCTAACTTTATTCCAAATATCTGTAGAGAGTAGATTCTAGTGATTTCAACACTTCATCCGAGTAATACTAATATAGCACCACTGTATCAATGCTGCAGTCCGAGGCAGTAATTGTGAAAATAGGAAAAGACAAAAGAACACCACGGGAGGAATGTAGAAGTAGCTAACAAGTGTTGATAATTTAAAATAAACATTATCCATTAAACTCAGGTTCATTTTTTTATTGAGAAGTTACAGTCATGGAATCTTATATTTTACTCACTAACAGTTATTTTAGGTGTATAGTAGTAAAAATAGGGGTAATTTTCCCCACTTTCATGATGTAGCTGTAAGAATGATCTCTGAAAAGTCAGTAAAACCCAAAAATGCAGTTGTATGAAATATGTAGAAGAAAATAGAATATTTAATAATATCTTTACTATTGTTCTGATACATGCAGTTAGGTGTCTTTTTGAAGTAGCGAACTCTTAGTCTATACCTGCATTCACATAACTGATATTTAAGCTCGAGCTTCCGGTCAGGTTTTACTACCCAGTAAAATTCATTCAACCCCAAGGACATTAGCAATAGAGGGCTATCTCATAGATAAGGGTGGTTTTCATATGTTCCCACTATCAAACATGCTGAATGGCAGTCACTACCCTCTCAATTACCAGTATGCTGCAAGGATTTTGGTGAAATGCTACTTTTTTATGCATTGTTATGTGTCACGCAGACTATTTTTACATTCAATTATTAACTCTCATTGCAATTCATGGTATGAACGACTACTTTCACGAGACTGACGTCTATGTTTCATTGGTTACAGGTTTTAAAGATAAAATAAAAATGTAGGGAAATTAGATAAATACATTCTACTCTTTAGATATAAATGAATGAGAATGAAGGGGTATTAAGAAATTTATGTGGAAAACAGACTGATGATACAACACTAAATTCATACTTGTACATATATATATATATATATATATATATATATATATAGATGGTAGTAAATTAATATACATTCTCAGAAGAATTCGACTAAAGTTGTAGAACAATAAAATAAGTTCCGTGAGTGCTTGAGACTTCCCGTGGAGTCAAGTTAATTATGCAGACAATCACCATTTGAGCGAGAATTTTTCTAGACGAAGATGGAATTTACGTAGAGATTAGTGGAGAAGAGTGAAGCAATACACGCTGTCCTTAAAGCAAAATCATCCACCGCATTACTCACTAGAGCTACTTTCCATCAAGATGACATTCTGCAGCATTTATAACCTCTTTCTTGTCATATGACACACCCAATTCTGACAATACTGATTCCCTTAAGCATGCTGATGACGTGATTGTTGTCGTACCTCCTCCCTCCCGACTGGACTCTGTCGAAATGTATGGCCTTCTCTCAGAATTTAGCTAGTGATCTTTGACAAGTGATATCGCTTTGAGTAAATCCATGTGTCACAATATTAATTTCACTTTCAGATGTAAACGAAACTCACATGAACTAGTGGTTTCCTGTATTTATTGTGACGTAGAGTATGGTACAGTAGAAATAAAACCTGATATTACGCACTTTCGGTTAAGCGCTTCCTATAATTTGTCATGATCGTCCGATGTCCTGATGATTTCTGGGAAAGTATTTCCTG